TACACCATGTCTAAGCAGTCCAGATACTAAATATGTTCACATACTTTCCAGAATGGAAGTAGAATCTGCTAGGCTTTTAAAGGTTTTCTTAGTTCAAATTATATAATATTTGCTACTACCTTCTAATGCATATCTTCATACTACCAGTTCAGTTGCATATTACTCAATATTGAAGTTCACCATAGGATGTCAAATTAAGCATTAGTGTGCGTGAGTATGGAGATGTTTCCATTGATAAATGTTTAAAGAAACTGGATAAATATTAACTAAGTGTGATTAAGAAATCACTTGACAAATGGAAAGAGAAGAGTAATTATTAATAGCACTATCTGGTAGGTATCATACAGTGTGCGAAATACGGTGTGAAGCTGATGAAGTTCAAGATCCTGTTTCAGTGAAACAATAACACTTTACTGTAGTTGGTGGCAAAAATGGTTCTGTTAAATGTTGGCAAGCAAAGTGAGACGAATCTGTCTGGGAACCTGCCATAAACTGTTTATATGTTTTTCATTTTTAGAAAATTTTTATTTCTTGCATTTTTTCCTTAAGAACCGCTATCAATTGTTTGCTGATGCAGATTCCTCAATTTCTACTGTGAAACTTCTTGAGAGGGGAGGGAGGAAAAAAAAAAAAAGAGATTTCCAAGATGTTCTCAGTGTGTTATCAAATGAACAAAACACACAGAACATGGAAACCAGCCAGTCATTCATTCCATCGACAGATTTGCAGAGCTAAATTTGCTTCTGGAGAGCAGTTAGAAATTAAAACACACAGATGATGAGTGGTGCTGGCACCCAAACTGTGATCAAGAGGACACTCTTGTCTGAAAAGATGTACCCTATCAGATTAATCATTATGTGTTAATTAATTTGAAATCAAAAGGATGTCTTCTGCTGTCTACGCACAGGAAATTAATGGTGATAGCACTAATTAAATATAATGGAAGTTACCTCTGTACTTCCCACATCTGGGACCAAACTCTTGATTGCCCTTCATGTTGTATCATTTACAGTTCAATCCTGTGGCAGCATCTTACCCTCATTGTGCCCTCTGTAAATAGCTTTGCAGCCATCAGACAGCAGAGAATCAGGCCAATGGATACTCAGAAGGGAAATGAGCTAATTTCAGCTAAACTAGCTCTTAACTTTGACCCCTAACCCTCAGATGTCATTGCATCTCCCGTGCCGTATGTCATGCTAAAATGAAACAATAGTCCTTATGCCTTGCTCTTCCTTCTTGCTCCTCTAAAGCATTTTTTGTTTGACCTGTTTCTGCTTTCCCTGCCTTTCTTCTAACAACTTCTCTGAGATATATAACGCTCCATTTCCTTGTAGGGAGCTCAGTTAAGAAAAACTCTGTGGTATCCAATGGATGGTTATGGAATTTCAGTTTTCCTACCTTCAAGCAATGTACTGCTGGAACTGAGATGTGTAGGGGATATTATGAGAACTTACATCTGGACTTGTTTTTTCGTTTGTTTTTGTTACGACTTTTTTCAGTTACCTTGACCACAAGGCTACTACAGTAGCACTGTGGAGATAGAAGGGATACCTCTTATTGCACTGATAAGGGCAAACAAGTTCCTACTCCCCAGGAAGATTCCATGGTATGCTTCATAGTACAGATGGAGAGAGCCTTTATTCCTATACTTGTATTCCACACAGGAAACTGAGGTGCAGATGGAACAGGAGACTTGCCCGTCGAAGAAAGAAACCATGTCTCAATCATAGCAGCCCCATGGCTTAGTAAGAAAAAACAGACCCTCCCATATGATCCACAACAGAACTCCCTATTGCCTGATAAACAGTAAAGCTTATGGTATTTGTTTGCAGTATGTAAGAGGGCAAAGTATTTTGTTTGGTTTTCAGGCTTGCTTTGTGAGGTGGCACCAGATTGCCAATAGCTTTGAGAAGGCCAAGAGAGGGATTGTGTTGTCTAGTAGAGCGTCATGAATTTGCCCAGATGAAGACTCTCTACTGCCCAATGGGCTAGACCACCTCTTTCCTACACCGCAACTTGCTAAGACTAGAAAAAAACATTCTGGGAATATTCCACTGCCTGTAATATTTGAAGGCAATGCCGATTTGTATTGTACTGTATTGTATTTTAATTGTACTAGCACACCTGTACTGGTGACTGATTTGTAATTCATGCCTCATTCTTTTTAGCCGTTAATTCTTTTTCACTTTTATTTTCAACCTTTTGCTCTTGTCCACAGAGGTTTCAATGGATCTGTGCACCTGTTAGTATTTGTTATGCAAATGTTAAATATACACAAATCCATTTTTCCCCCAGCATACTTAATCACTGTCAGGTACTTAAACTGATATTCAACATTATCCTTGCCTATCCTATCTTCTTCATTAAATAGGTGGGAGAAAAATCACCAAATATTGTGCAAAAATTGATTTTGTTAACACCAATAATTCATTTGTGTCCAAATCTTCCTGCTTCTATCTGGGTAAAGATGTTACCTATCAGAGGATGCCAGCTGACACTCAGAACCCATCTCACTGGCCATCTCAAAATTATGTGTTTGGTCCAAGCCACCTGCCAGGCTGCTGCTTTGAGTAGTTAAGAAAAGCAGCTCCAAGCAACTCTTTGTCTCTTCCTGCTAACATAGTTGAACTACCTTGGATATGCCTTCGTGACTCTTTGTATTGACCATAAACTTAAAGACTGGTTTAGAGAATAGATAGATGAGTTAGATAGATGAGAAATATAATGAGTTATACATATCCAAGGAATATCCTTCAGGGAACTCTTAATCCTAACCTTCAGTATACCAGTAATTACCTTTCAGGGTTACAGCTAGTCAGCTAGATTTACAGGCTTGAAATGACTTTGTTGCTTTGTAGTATTACAAAAAGCAGACTAATCTTTTCAAATCTATATATACCATATTCTAAATGTCACAATTAGACTTCTTGAGGGTAAACACTTCAGATTGCTGCAAACTTTCTAGGTCTTTTCACTGTGTTCATGAGACTTGCACCATTGAATCCAGAAAATAATAATAAAATAATATGACAGAAATGTCCATGTCCTACAGAGCCATATTACAGACTTGCACTTGCCTACACTGTTACAGACAGTGAAGCAGTACCTTAAACTGATGAGTTGAGTGGCTCCAGTTGAACCTGAAGGAAAATGCTTGTAGTATTTTTCTTCAATGAACTGAATACTTCTTAGCCTTCTTTGCTTGCCCTCTGGTTGAAGAACTAAATTGGGAAGCAGGAGATCTGGGAAAACTTCCTGGCTCTGCTGCAGCCTGCCTGTGTGGCTAATGCAAATGAGGTTAATCTCCCCTTCCCTGTAAAAGGGAGGCAATAATCAATCCTTCTTCTGTGCAACAGCAGTTTGTATTCCCTTTTTACAATATTCCAGGAACTATTGCTCAGGATGTATTTATACAGGATCTGAATACATAGTTTTCCATTTTCATTGGGATTAATAGACACTATCAAAATCTGGACAATTGACAGATAATAGAGACAAAAATTCATCTGTCAGTTCATATTGACAGATAATAGAAACAAAAATTCATTATTTTGTTTGCTTTCTAAATTAGGTTAGAAAAAGATACCAAGCTACTAAATAAAATCACTAGGCATCCCATGCATTCCAGGATTCACAAAAAATGCAGTGATCCAATGAGGTGGGTTATTGTTATAAACTGATCTGACAATACTTTAGCTAATGGTTTTATTTTTATTTTCAGAAGACACTAAAGAAGAAAACACTTTCCTCTAGCTGAATGCCTGTGTTTTGTAAGTTTTGGTCACATTATTCCATACTTATTTTGTTGCCTGACAACAAAATACTTACTTACTTACTTTTACTATTCCTAACAAGAGAAAACCTAATTTGGAATTTTCTCTTAGAATATATTTTCAATAGAAAATAAAATGAAATACTGAAATTTCCTGTAGGAAAATTGTGACCCCTTAAAAATCAGAAGAAAATATGTTGCTTTAGATGGCTTTGGGCAAAGCATGAACATTTTATTTTCTTAATCTACATCAAAACACTCTGTTTCACAACCATTCGCCATTAACTGACGTGTCTTGCTTATGATCCAGTGTCTCATGAGAAATGTATTTCAGTACTCTGTTCAGTTCCAGTGGGTATTTTGAAGGATAACATTTCCCATCATGTGTCTGAATAGCTTGATCAAGTTGTGTGCCACATCCAGAGAATTTCACAGTGCTAGATGCCTCGAGGGAGATGGAACCCGTCCCGATGCATGATTTATAGTGGAAACTGTTGTTACATATACCTACAGCTCCACGAGGCAGTGTGCTACCATGGGGAAATATAGTTTAACTATGAAATTGCTCTCAAATGTGTTTTGGCCACCAAAATTTTGATATTTCAAATGTTCATCCATCTTTGGGATGAAAGGCAATGTTCCAAAAAATGGAATTTTCCCTGTTCTGTTCAGTATGAGTTCATGGGTTCACTGTTTTAACAAATTCAACCAAAATGTTCTTGCTTAGAGGTGGGGTTGTGCCAGAGAAGCAAATAAAAAAGTTCAGCCTCAGGAATGATGTTTTGGAGGTGTGGTAATGTGTACAATAACAGTGGTAACCTTATGTAATGGTTAGCAGTATTTTCCAGCATCAGGGCAAGGCCAAATCTGCCAAACTTATGCATCACAGGGCTAGTTATTATAACCGGTATCACTGACAATTACCACATCACCATGTAGATACAGATCAGCTGGGAGCTATAATACAGCTGCCACTTATGTGAAGCCTTGAAAAGGCTTTTGCTTCCATGCCTCTCACTCCTGCCCCTGGAAAAGCTGGTTTAATTAGATTCAAAGTGAAATTGAAGGTCACAAGTGACAGACGTTACTCATGTGGAATGCTAAAAAAATTGTTTTCTTTGCCTTAAGCACAAACACAAGATTTGAGTCTCAACATTTAGCTGACACCAATGGGTGTTAAGGAGAAAGTAAATGGTGTCCATAGGCAGAAAAGATGATGTGCCTACAGCTCTGTGTCTTCTGCAAGCAATCCTCACCACCGCTCATCATCTCTGCAATGAGTGCTCTGCACTCTGCTTACTCGGGTTGCCTTTGCAGCCCTGTCTCTTCACGGGAGAGAAGAGCCATGCGTTTTGGAGGGTTTAGTTTCTTTGTTTTTATTTATTTATTATTTTATTGTCTGTCCACCAGTGGAGATAAGTGCCAAAGTTAAGAACAGGAAGGTAAGACACAAAGTTGTTTGTGCTTTCCAATACAGACTGTTTAATTACAAAATGCCAGACTTCACATACGTCTGAGGAAACCCATTGGGAAAAGTTGATGTTTGTGAATAAGCTCTGTATTTTTCTTTTCTGTTTGGAGGAGTAGAAAAATCCTCAAGCAAGGTCTTCAGCAGATAAGTCTTAGGCTCATCTTCTTTACTGGCATGATTAAATTTTCATCTGTAGAGCATTGGAGTTTTCTAGTCTGGGTTTGAACATTGGCCTAGAAATTATAGCACAAGAGTTTCAGTAATGGCTTAGTTCAGTGAAGAACTGCTTGCTTGTCCTTACCTACTTTCTTGGTCTGCTGATGGCAGTGAATTCAGAGATTTTTTTTTAAGAATCATCCAAATCATCTTTCAGCCCTTTATATATTCCTCAAAGTTTCCACATTCTCAGTGTTTTTGGAAGCCCCAAATATTTAACAGTGCTTTCACTTTCCTCAGTTTGTGTTTGAGTTTTTGTTCATAAGTGATGCATTTCAAAAATATGAAATTTAATCTTTTCTCTTTTTAATAGGAGTTTACTGAAGCTAAAATACTTTATCTTCCCTCAAGTATCAGAGGCAAGACTTTGCCTTGCCAAATATATTATTCATAAACAAAGATGTACTTATATGTGTAGTAAACAGAGCACCAATTAGCACCACAGTTGGTTTACAAAGTATTTTTTGTTTGTTTGTTTGTTTTTGTAAGGTTTTCTGACAGATTTCTAAAGGGCATTATTTCCCCCAAAGTATCTTCAAGTTTAGTAATGAGATGCAGTGTTTCTTGAGTTGGGAACAAAATACTTGCACAGATCACGAAATGTAAATACCCTCCCCTCCCCTTTACTATTTCTATGACCTCTTAAATATGGAGAAAAAAGAATCTAATATTTCAAAATGTCAAGTTCTCTAGTGAGGAACTTCCCATGAGTGTTATTAAAAATGGAAGAAGTGGAGACTCTAACCATAAATCAAATGTTCCATCTTGCAGTACCTGCAAATGCCAAGTTTGTACAAACCACGAGGTGGCACAGATTAATAGGCATTTTAAAACTTGGTCATCTTAACTGCATGTTCTTGATCCATAAAAAATACAGGATAATTCAACTTACAATAGCCTACAATAAAATGGACTTAAGGTGTCCTATCCTGTGTTTGCCTAGACATATTATATAAAGGCAAACAAGTATGTCTTCTACCTGGCATATGGTAGAATATGTAATCCTGCCAATATGTCCATAAGTCTAACCTCTTAGATTTTTGATGAACAGTTACTTTCTATGCTTCCTGCAAGCATGAAGTTCCTCATCTTTAAATTATTTACTCAACATCCCAACTCATGTTTCATAGTTCTCGACAGCATTTGTGTCCCTTCAGTCCTGATAAGGCAAGACACCAAGGAAATCACATCAGTAACTTTGTGGTTGTGGTATCATGGGGGTATCACAGGAAAGAGTATTTAAATGCTGCTAGGGAAAAAATCTAATAACTCACTTTTAGATCTTATTTTTGACATTCTCAAGCATTTTTTATAGTGTATTTCCAGCTTTTACTGGCACATTAGTAGAAAGTGATGTACAAAAGTAGCTGATTCTTATTCAAATTATACTTAGTTTTCCATTCAAAACTCTGATTTATGTTGCCACAAAAAAGTACAGAATATCAGTAACCTTTATGTTTTCAATTTGGCTGGATATCCTTGTACTGAGTAAGCCAAAATGAATTTATGTTAGAATTCTCAATCAGAAAAATGATCCTATAGAGAACATGAAAGGTGTTTTCCCCTTCCATATTGGTTTTGTTAAATGGTTTTGTTAAATGGAAAAGAAAACTTTTTTAAAAGTCTGAATTATGCTCTTGTGGTATACAGAAAAAATATTTGCTATTGTTTCTAGGCAAATGTTGCCTCCATCTTTCAAATGATCAAAAAGTGTGTTATATAAGTGATGGGAGGGGAAGGGATAACTAGAAGTTATCCTTGTATCTTGTTTATTCTCAGTGTAAGCAAGTTTAAGAAATGCTGAAAATGGGCACCTCATGGGTTGTAACTATAGCACACAGATTCCAGTCAAGTGTTAGCAATTCTTAGACAAATATTTTCTCCTCCAGAAAGTCTCGCAGCTGGCCTGCAACTGTTTCACTAATTTCAAACACATTAATCAACAAGAAAATATTCACCAATTTCAGTGGATTACCTCTGAAAAACTGTTATACACAGGAAGGTTCTACATTTTTTACTGGAGCAAGAATTTAAAATAGTATATTTTAACTGTATGAAAACTGTTACTGAAAAAATAGGGATGAAAAGGTATTTTCATCTTGGTGGCATGTGCATATTTGGCTTTGCAATAAACAGTGGAACCCAATATAGTGTCTACTCCTAAATAAAAAGGTCTTAGTCCCGCTCCTGTTTTATGGAATGTATTTTTTTTTCTTGTTGATATATGTTGAGCTTACAGAATATATTAGTCATAGGTAAGCTGAGCTTCCTGGAAAAGTATTATTCTGCAATTGTGCCACTTCTGCTTTTATACAATGCAATCGCTGTTTTGTTTTTTTCTCTCTAATTTGACATATTTCTGTTTTAATGGATGAAAAGAAGTAAGAGAATGAAAGATTTTTATTTCTTTTTGTTTGCAGTTTTCTTGTCAGTACAAGAAATGGTACAGATGACTGTGCAAAGCTATAGGAGGTAGGTCTCAGACACAATAAAGCCCTGTTACAGATTCTTTCTGACAAAAGGAGGAATTTTAGCTTTTTTTTTTTTTTCTTTTCACTATTTTTTCTGTAACAGGTGAGTGTTCTTATGTTTGTTAAATGTAGATAAAATTAAGCCTGGAGTGTGGTTTTTACTATGAACAGAGACCTCCGAGTTATAGAATGTTCCTTTTACAGTGAGCAAACTCTGAAAACAAAATGTTATTTCTATGCAGATTACCAGATACAACTACAACGAGAATCTAAGTAAAGAATTGTTTCTCAGATGCTACTCCTGCAACTACTGCTGCAACTCATGTGCCTTATCTCTTTGAAACTTTGAGAGCAATTATATCTTTGAAAAGTAGGTGGCTAAAGGAACCGTGCTCCCTAAAGGTTCCCCAAAGATTCACCATCTGTCAAAAGTGAGCCGTTCTGCCACCTTTATAATTAGCATTTACTGGTACCTAACACCTACATTCTAACACCTACTGTAACATACTGTTCTTGAGAATAAGTGTATTGCCACACTCTCATGACAACTCTTCTTCTAAGGCATTGCTATTATGTATCATTATAAATGAAGGCAAAATGCAAATGTTTACTCTAAGAAAAATCATAATGACATCTCAGAGGAGCACACAGGTAAACACATTTCATTGTTGCTTTTTTTCTTTTTCAAATAGATCCCTGCAAGAGTTTTCAGAAAGTCCTGTTATGTCAAGATGCAGCAGCCTCAACTCTTCCCATTCTCTTATCAGTGTACCCCAGAGGTTAGTTATTTCCATGAATTTCCAGGTGAGAATACTAGAGACTAGTCCCATTTAGGAATCAGCAAATACAGATAGACTTTTTTGAATATGAGGTTCCAAGTGTTAGCTCGCAAAGTGCATTTCCTCATTTATCCCAAGAAGATCAAAATGACCTTCTATTCATAACAGGTGTCTAGTCTGAAATGTGTTTATTCTGATAAAAAAATACTCCAAACTTCAGTGGGCTTTGAAGCAATTAGGAAGTAAAAAACTGTGAGATCTTATGGCAGCTGTACTGTTTCTTCTCTGATTTGTGTCTGGAGAGAATTGAGCCTACAGAACTGTGAACCTACACCTTTTATTAATATTCCTCTTGTTAAGCTCTTTAGATCCCAAGCCACCAATCTCTCTGGAGGGAGAAACCTGTGTGCTACCAATACTAATGTTAAAAGCACTAGCTCTGAGCAATATGATGGAAAATGACAATCTTTATTTATTTCATTATGAGAAGAGAGGAAAAGGAAAACAAATATTTTAATAATAGTAACACTTCTCTGAAAGAGAAAAGCAATACCATTATAGTAGTGTAAATGATCTTGATATTTTCATCACAGTGTAAGTGAATGGCTGGCCATCGGGGAAAAGGATCCAGTTGAGATTCTTCTTGATTTGGGGTTTGGTACAGAAGAACCTGACGTCTGCACTAAAATTCCACCTCGGTTCCTTCATGGTGCTTCTGTAGCAAAAGGGATAAACATCCGAGTTTTTCTGGAGGCTCAGAAGCAGCGGATGGACATTGAAAGCCCAAATCTATATGGTAAGCAGAGGTGTTTTTTTTTTTTTTTTTAAAAAAAGGAAGAATTTTAGCTAACAGATGACCATATATATAAAACTATGGCAACTGAGAGGTTAAGGAAGAAGAGACTTACTAGACAAAACTCATGAAAAGGGCAGTCCATTCAGGGGACATCTAGGATACTTGCATACATACTTGCAGCTATGTTATTTCCTAGTGAAATTCAAACACAGTCTGCTCAGCTATGGACTCCTATTTATGAGCTTGAAGTACTAGCAGTGACATTTTACAACATGATAACCCATCCTCTGTTAGACTTATCCCACCACCTGAGATTAACATTTTGGTAGCATAAGCTGCAAAAGCGAACCTAGGTCCATTGCCTCAGCTGTTTCATTGGCAGCACGTTAGAAAATGCTCACTGTTGCTGATGTTTTAAAACAATACAAAAGGTTTTGGACTCAGAAAAACCAAGCATTGCATCATGATCATACGTTCCCTTTTCCCCTCTGCAGCAACAGAGCAGCTTGGGGAGATGCACAGAGCAGCTGAGAAGATCCCCTAGCTGGAACTGCATGAGCTTTTGCATCAAAGCCACAAATTTCTAGCTAGAACATAACAATTCTGTGGTTCAGATATATGCTGAGATGTACTTGAGCATCATATCATCTAAGAATGGTGGAACTGCATTATTTAAGACATGTAATTTTGTTTTGCTTTTTTATTTATTTAAATGTTATTAGTTCTCATTTTATGTGGTATCAAGTACCAACTGCATTTGGCAGATGAGAAATGAAGACAAGGTCCTTACCCTAAGGATATGTCTGCATAAGAAGCGCATTGCTATTTCTCTGATATACCTTCCTTCTAGAAAGACAAATCTGGATATCTCCCCCCCATATTTGCTGCACAGAATAGCCAGATGGCTCTTGAAATCTTGTTTACTTAAGATGCTTAGTGAAGCAGGATCTCTCACATAGTCCCATTTAGAATTGCATCAAGAAAGCAATATATATGGAATAAGAATTGAAACAGAAATGTCAGGGCATTATGGAGAAATTTTTTTTCTTTTTTTTTTTTATAGCAAGCCTTGTGCATACATTTCAATATTTACAGCAAACTGACACATCAAGCAGGTTGCTCTGCTGTCACTCTCTCTGTCTGTAACTCCTCAGAGAAAAAGGGCAAGAGGGAACAGAGATAATCAATATGAGTACATGGTGGATGGAGACCTTAGGGAAGAAGGTGAAGAATTAGGAGTGAATGAAAGGAGAGAAGAAGAATTAAAGGCAAGGAGAGAGGTGGTTTGCATAGTGAAGGCAGGCAGTGGTAAGCCAAGGTGTGAATTTAATAACTAGTCTTGCAATAGTTCTCAATGGGGACACTCTTTGTACATGTTAACAGCTAATCTATATGGGGGAGTTACTGCAAAGTAAGTTAAGGTTTGCATTTCTATTTTGGAAGGTGTGATGTCCATCAAAACATATTATTTTTCTTTTGAGAGTTTGGGAGGGAGTTTTCACACCATCTGCTTAGGCCTTCAAAGTATGTGCCAGGACTGGAAGCTGAGGCTACACATTTAATGCACAGAGGTGGAGTTGATCCTTCACAGAGATACCTACTTCTGCTGTCTCCATTCTACGTGCTGTTTTATACACGGTGCTTAACCTCAGCCTGGATCACTGCACCAAATTACAGACATTAAACTCAAATGCCATCTTAGAGAGCTTTATATCTGTCTCCTGGAGTCTGTCTCCAGAGTGAGTGGAGAGAGTGAGGCACCTTCACAGGGGCATCATCCATGCCAGTCTCTCTCTCAGTTTGGGCACAAGTAAGTTTCTGCTGCCAGTGCTCCAGGAGAAGGCATGTAGCTAAAAGGGATGTACCATGTCTTAGAATGCAAACTGCACAGGAACATCCTCAAACGGGCTCTTTGGGAACTTGCTTGCAAACTCTTTATTTCCAATATCGAAAACCTTATATCGCCTAATTTTGTAGTATGGTGTAGAGAGAAGCAGGAGTGGTAAATTGATGTTTATTACATTTAAAAATGGATTGCATTTCTTGGGTGGGATCCAGTCTATCTGCCTTCAGCGCTAAGGCTGTACCTCAGTCTTCAGGCAACCTACTGGAACAGTTCTAAAGCAGAAACTAAAATTTCCTGTAATGGCAATAATGAAGATAGATGCTTTTGAGGGCCTCCAGAAGTTACTTCTCTGCAAATTAAGCAGAAAGGTTCTGCTTCAGGGATATTCCATTGCATTTACCTCTCTGATAACCATTTAAAGCTTTTAGATCCCCCACTTCTAAACAAATTCTTTGACAGAGCACTGAAATGGAAATTACAGAGACCACATCAACTACAGAGATTTTAAGACTGTTTTACAATTTTTTCCTAGAGACGTCCTGGATGAAATCACCTATTATCTATCAGGATTGTTTATGAACACTGAAACATTTCAATATTTATAAAATGTGAATAGCTCTTACTTGAATTTAGCCATGGGAAAGGAAGAAGGTATTTAGTGTGAGTTTGTGAAAGACTGAGAAGTTACCTCATTGTCAGTTTACTTTCTGCAGAATTCGCAGAGAAAGCTAATTGATTTAGTGTGATTTTGTGGAAGTCACAGAAGGTGAGAGATAAGCAAGATATAGATGCAATTTGGGAAATGCCAAAGGTGGAGAAAAAAAGGAGGGAGGTGATAGAGACCAAATGACTTTTCAAAGCAGTGTGATTCCTCTCCAGTTTTCATATTCATTTATTTTCTAGTGCAGTCTTGTTCTGTTTGGCTTGTCTCTGACTGCAAGGAATAGTTTTCTAGAAGTGCTTCATTGATGATCTGACCTTTTAAAATGTGTGTGGCTTATTATGGTGTTATTTGTTAATTATCTCCTTGCTTGGTGACAATTGATTCTTCAGCACAGTCATTAAGTTTTCAAATGGTTCGGTACACAAAATAAGCTGCACTCTCAAAAATCTCACCCACCCTTTAGGCGTCTCAACCAGAACCTAAAGAAAAGCTTAGCCTCGTCATTCCCTAGAGGTGAAAAATTTACTGATCTAAATAGAAGTGACATTTCACTTAGTAACTGATAGAATGAAGTCACTTGATAGTGAGCAAGTATATTAATTGAAAAGTAATATTTTCAAATATGTAGATCCCTTTTGAATGCTATAGTTTCATACTTAAAACAAAATACCCACATTTCATACCACAATTCACTACTTGCATATATATATATATATGTGTGTGTGTAAAATATCTACCTATTTTTTGAGGAGGATTCTATTTCTGTTTGTTTTTATACTCATCTGTGTGTCTGTCAGCTGCTTCAAGCCCCTCACTGGAGCAGTTGTCCGAGCCTTATTCTCCTTTTTTAGATGAGTATATTTGACAGGTACCACTTCCCATGACACTTGGTTATCCTGTGACCACCACAGGTCAGCAAGGATAGAGCTGCATGTATCATGGACAATATTGTATCAGTCAGTAAACCCAGTTTTATATTGAATTACTAAATATATCTTCTCTGAGGTACAGCTTCAGTTCTGGAAGCTCAAGTACTACCAGGACCCAAGACCTAAAAAAAGGAAAATATTTTAATACATGACAGAGTATACCATACTGAGATCCATTTTGATTTTTCTTGACAAAAACTGAAGAATTTGGTATAAATCTGCATTTTCCCACTGAAAAAAAAAAAGGGTTTGTTTGTTTGTTTATTTCTTTTTCCTAATTCTGTTTGTCTTGAAAGAAAAAGATGCTGATTGGAAATTTCTCATTGGCTCTGGAAACTCTTAATTCCACTGAGCATCTATTGAAGCATTTCCAGATATTTTACACAGACTACTGTAGTACAGACTTAGGGTAGGAGGCACAAAACTCTGAGAATTTCTTAATGAATTGTAAACATCTCCTGATCATAAAGTTTTGTTGCTTACACTTTGGCCGTTTGCTGAGTTGGTTAAAGTTTCTAGTGAAAATGCATCCACTATTACGTCCTTTAGCATCTACTCTGTGTTACAGATTTTGCAGCATGTTCTAGAGATAAAGGAGTTCTGCTCAGCATGTCCCATTTTCCTGTCACCTATTTGAGGATGCTCCTTGGGAAGCATTCACTGACAGCAAAGGGACTGCTGGCCTGGAGATAAATTGTCCATGAAGCAGGGCAGTCCCTGATACCATTCTTTCATGACCTGTGTATTTATTACACTTAATGTGAGTGAGGGGGTTGCTTGTTTGTTTATAATTTCCCTCTTGGTTTGATTTGTTCATCAGGTGTCACAAGCTTTAGGACATAATCTACGGGGAAAAAAATAGTGTGCCAAAACTATTTCAAGCAGTAGCAAGTTTGGTTCTGGTTCAAATGACAAGTACTGTACTTCTCTGCCACTGTCAGTCAAAGCAGATTAGCACTTGGCATTTTTATAGCATGACATAGTGAGAGCCAGATAAAACACTGAGGCTGAAATGTGCTGTCCATGAGGAGCATGTGATAATACGTTGGAAGCACAAAACCCTAAGTGATTTACTCCAGCTTTCCAAACTAACACAAATTCAAACTTTATCCAAACATGTGTAATCCGTGTGCTGATAGATCAGATAACTTCTATAGACACTATCTAGAGAAGCCTTTGACCATTTTTTTTAAAAAGTGATGTGAATGGCAACAATTTCCTCCAGTGTTAAAAATTAGGCAATGTTTGTGAAGGAAACGGGGAAAGAAGTATCCCTGAGATACAGTAATTAGCAGGAATTATATGGCATGGTAGAGGTCCCTGATGCAAAGGACCAACTCCGAGCCATGTTAAATACCCCCCTGTTATCTAATCATCAGTGAAGCAATATTACCAACAGCCTGTGTGCACACTGCATGCAGTAAAGTTTGGCTGCTCTCTAGGAGAAATGGCAGCCAAGAATGTTAGCATTTTGCCATCTACTCTCCTCAACAAATCTCTTAAGGAAAGAGAAGTCCTGCTGACATATTCATAGCCTCAGGACAGATGTAGATGCCGTAGTCAAGCAAATGTGTTGCATTTCCTTGTATAAATAACAGCATAGTGTTGTAGTGATTGAAATCTCCGGAATCCCTTACAGAAAATATCATCCACTTCTTTACCTGCTACACCATGGAAAAAAATGACCCAGAAATAACACAATTTTGTTTCAAAGAAAAAACACCGAGCAACTGTATAAAAATAAGTGTATATATACTTTGCTATGATTTTCTGGGGAAAGAATTTTTTGATTTGCAGTACTCTGAAAATGAGGGTATAGCCTCTGGGGCCAATTGCTATCAAGTAATAGGAATATGCATTTTGCAGTTACCCTGGACAGTAGCCAGCTGTAGATATCTGAGATCAGACTCTAACGGCTTTAATCTCACAGAATTTAACAAGTATTCAAAAATAGCATCCAAATCTATACCAACTAACTGAAGAATTTAAGTCTGGATTCTGTAGCATTTATTTACACTAAGTGGTAGTCAGCTGTACATGACCTGCTGAATTCAATATTATGTAAGATCCTCTGGAAGCAAAAGAAAATAATAGACTTTTTAAAATCAGATTCTTAATATGTTATTTTTGGTGAAGGCAAGTTTAATAATAATAATAGTCATCATCATTATGCCTCGCTATTTATTTTGAATTGTATTTCTGGTGACCACATTTGCCTTCCATTCTATGAAACTCAAGGGCGTTTCCGACAACTGCAAGTGCTTGATCGCGTGACGAGTGCCTTCTCCTTGCTGCTCACTGATGTGAACACCCACCAGAGCAAAGCCCAGGGCGCCAGCAAAGGTGACACCGGCCACTTGGACACTGAGCAGGGCAAACCTGTGGTTACACGAGCAAAGAAGAGAATAAGTCAGCTGTTGAAAAGGGCTTCTAGGCAGACACTGCTGAAACAGAGCTCGCTGGCATCCGGTGAAGCCAAATTATCTGGATGGAAAGGACAGCCCTATTCTTGTGGTGACGCTGCTGAGAGTGGAACAGTCCAAGTGGGGTTTTCTGAAGATGTTACGATGGGTTGTCTCACCCCAGAGCAAAACTCCAGAGGCAAAGATGCTCTCACAATACCCCAGTGTCCACAGACTCCATCGGAAGGAACTTGGAGTTCATCTCACTTACTTCCAGAACAGTCTCACCTTTCTTCTGCATGTGAGGTGCCTGCCAAAGACAGGCCAAGGAAAGAGCTGAGTTTGCTTGTGGCCCCCACACTCAAAAAAATGGCCAGCCAAAGCTACAAGCTGCCTGACTCCTTTGAATTGGAAGAGGTAAGGTGGATTTCTGCATATTACTTATCAGCAATGTATATTTACGCATATTTATTTTATAGATTTGGATTCTCTTTTTGGAGATTCAAGATAGAAGGAATTACATAAAATGCCATGTTGTGACATTGTGGGGAAAAGCAGTGGGATTGACACTACTCCTTGGGGTTTTAATTATTTTAAATTGCCTTTGCGTTAGAATGCTGCTAAAGAAGTTGGCACTGAGGTTACTGAGACAGGATTCATTCAACCTGTGTGATAGCACAGCATGTCAATATGTTTTATACAGTGCTAGCTTTTTTCTAGAAGTAAGTTGCAGGAACACTAATACATATGGTCAAGGATATTTTTACAGACCTCGCTATTAACCTTTTTTTCCTTCTTTTTTATTTTTTTTTCTCCTCTATGCTCATGTTCTGGTGTGCTCTCTGCAAATGTTTCATCACAAAATTATCCTTGGTTTTATAGCAGCATTCAAAATACTTTATTGCTCTGTAAGCTGAGCATCCTAAAACCTAAATAACTCAGAGCAGCAGCTTGTTCTCAAATCCACAGTTTTCAAAGTCCATGATACTCAGCTATCTATACGTTCAGCAACAGTGGGTTGGCAGTGAGGTTCAGCATGAAGTAACAGAGACCAGGATACTTGCCAGTCCTTGTCTTACATTCTTGAGTTCTTGTGTGAGCAAGATTTTTTTTTCTGGGTGTATTAGTGCAGAAAGAGGGCTCCATTGTGAGAACAAAGAGAGGAGGAAAAGCAGGATAGCTGGCAGCTCCCTAAAAACATTTGTAGTATGAAAAGAAGAGCTTGGAAAAGGTGGGAGGCCTAAGAAAAGACTTCCAGTTTTGAAAGAAGTTGGAAGAGATTGGGTTAAGTTGGTGAAAAGCTTTCTGAATAAAATATATTTCTGAATAAAAGATTTTTCCATGTCCTTCTAGAGTTATTTTTCTGTGAAAGCTTTGATTCAGCCTAAGTTTTCCTTTGTGTCCTGCAGTTGTGGAACTGACTCAAAGAATATAAGTTTGGGTCTGACTATCAGCCTTGATGGGGAAGAAAGGGTCTTTCAGAGATCTCCAGCATGGCAAATCTTTGCAACCTGTATGTCTGCACAGACTTGTCCACTGGACTTCCAGCTTTTTGATCACAGTAGCTCTGTGATCCCTGTAAGTTATCATGGGCTCAGAAATGAGGATGCTGACAGAGCAGTAGTTGCAGATGATGATAAACTCCCCAGACTGATGTCCAGGACAGTCTGACGAACGCTTTATGCTCAGATTAGAACTGTGTATACACTGCTAAACATTCAAGTATTTATTAAACTAAGGTTTTAAGAACTGTGTACAGGCTCAAACTAGCAAGCCACCTAACATATTCTTCTGACAACAGCCAGTAGCAGGTGCCTAGGAAGAGAATAAGAAATAATCTCTTCCTATAAGATTCCTCTTATATTCTTCATATTTCTGTAAGAAATATAGAGTGTTCTCTCTCATATATTCTTCTAGACTTTGACAATAGGTGGTTTAGAGATTTCTTGAGCTACAGCTGCACCTGGGACACACTGAATAGTTTTGCGTGTAATCTGCTTTTCTATAATGACTCTTGTTGCAATTTCTGCAACATCACAACGTTCTCCGTGATACCATGAGAATCACAAATGGAACCTTCATTCCTGGAGGAAAAAAATTCTGACCTTACATACACTCTTTGGCAAGAATTTGTCTCCATATAGTTCCCATGCCTGACGTTTCTACTGCTAAGTCATATTTTTCTTCTAGGGACATTTCTTTGAGACTATTCGGACAAAACTGTTAAGACATATATGAGTGGGGAAAACGTTATGCATTAACTACTCTGGAAATACTTGAAGAGCCTTTGTGATTAGAGCCTGGATTGTGACATAACGCATTTTTTTCTTTTTTTTTTTTTATTCCCCTTTTTGAGAAGGACACCACCAAAAAGGAACCATTTGAAAGATTTCATGTTTTCATGTTTTCACTCTGAAATTTCTAGAGTTTTCTTTTTACTCTTACCCCTTCTCTATTAATAGGGAATACACTCATAAGAATCAACACTATCAGTGAGATGTTTTCCTCTTCTCTCACACTTCCTCTTCTTTTTTCTTTTTCAGATTCAGAGTTTGGAGGAAGAAACTCCATGTAGATATGCTCCGGACAGCATATCAGGTGAACGCTAAAAACAGATATTTTGCCAGATTTGTTTCTAAAACTGTGTTCCAAAGGAGACCCTTCTAAAGGTTATACTAAGAACATATTCTCTCTTTGTTCTTACCAACTCTATTTGAATGGACTATTCTGCCCATGGCAATCTAGATTATATGACTTCATGAATCATAGGGCTATAAAATGCTGTCCACTTGTTGGGAGGATGCAGTGAGCGCAGGCAAAGTGGGTTCCCGTTTTCAGTGTTTGGAGGACTTATCTGATCCTCTAGGCACCTTCATGTAGGTCATGCATGTAAGTCCCCTCAGGACCTGCAGACAAAGCCAAAGCCTCTCTCCTGCTCATCCACCAGACACAGGTGACCTATTATCTGCTCACCTGAAGATCCTGGGAGGACTTTCTGGTTGAAGAACGGCCTCCACCACAACATCTGAATCTCTCATAATACAGAGACTATCAACACATGGGCTGATATGGCACTGGATCATGTGTCAGGAAATAAGTTGAGAAGTCTATGAAAGGATTAAATGCAAAGCTGTTAGACCAGATGTTATGCTGTCATTTGGGGCAATGTGAGTTTGGATCCTGAGAACTGTTTGCTGGCAGGGGAGGCTGTATTGGAGGAGACAACTGTTTTGCCTCTAGAAAAGAGAGCACTCATCCTTGCTCTCTAGTGACCCTTGCTAACCAGTGCTTAGAGCAGGACTGGCAGGTTTTTGAAACGAGACAGAAATTTGAGGTAGAAGAACGGATGGGTAGCAAGAAGCAGATAGAAAGGAATGAAGATAAAAGTCTAGTGAGCCCTCACCTTGCAAATATTGCATTACTCCACTTCTGGGGACCAAGCACAAGTAGTTACACAGTTTAAGTTCACACGCAGGTATGGGAATAAAGATCAGATATCAATGGGTGACAGTCATTCACAGATGCCATTGGCTGCAGTGACAGCTGGATTTGCGAGAGTGAAATTGTGAGCCTGTTGAAGACAGTGGTATAAGACCCATAGAGTTCAATGAAGCTAAAGGTATTTTAATCAAAATAAGCAGTTTTCTTAATAAATGCCAGAGTTGAGCAAATGTGATGGAGTATATAATGAATCTGTTGGCCCTGGAGGTTGCATTTTTTTGTTTTCAAGTGAGCTGTAAGTAGCTGTTCTCTTGCTTTGTTAGTTTTTCTTCTGTTTTGCTTTGTTTTTTAGCTGTGGAATAGATTGCGTACCTGTGTCAGCTGGTTGTTCTCACCACAGCCTGGTGGTTCCAGCCATTCTTAGGGCTTAAAGTTGGGTTCTTACTGCTATTCAGTATGATTTGTGACCTGACTTACACAAAGTTGCTTTAATTTTGCTTCCTGAATGATGACTCGGTCATTATGAACAAGCTCCCATACTTGTAGTCTTGCTTGTAGTAGTATCTATACAAAATATAGCAGGTTTCCACGATTTGTGCAAATAAAACCAGCACTTAGTGAAGAGAAATGAGTAATGAACAGCAGAGAAAGTGGACATATTCTAGTGGGATTAAATAACTAAAACATTTCCTCAAACACATTTTTCCTTTCAGCTCTAAAAATTACTGTGCTACTTAATGATAAAAGTATTTGTGAAATGATTTTGCAGATTATATAGATATATTAATCTCAATATAAAGGAGGAAAAAAAAATAGGACCTGAAAATTATTTTAAAATGCAGGAAAAAGAATGTATTCATGGTGACTCGGGGATAAAAATCACAGAATGTGATCATTTGTTTTTAATTCTAATAAGACTGTCATACAGTTAATTGAACAATTAATATCACAGAACTGAAATGTCCTTATTTAATATTTGTGCTTTAACAGCACCATAATATTATTTTAGAGTTTAAAAACTGGACAATCTCTCTTTTCAGTCTCCTGTTACAGTATTGCTTATGCTAATTCTAAATTGAAAGAAGAGATTTTGATCATCTTTTTTATCGGCTTTTTTTTTTTTCATGTTCTTCTCCTTTTCCCAATTATTTTAAATGGTGTACCTCTCTATACTCAAGGTGCATCATGGAACAATCTAAAAAGAGCTGATATCAACTCAGCATTGTTAGGACAGATAATATCTAGCTTCCCACCAAACGGAACAGAGTCTGTCTCAGACTTACAATTTGAAACAGGAGCTTTTGGGGAAACAGAGCCCACATTCCAGTAGGAGCCTAGCAAGGGAAATTCAGCTCCTGGGAGAATAGCCTGGAATTAGATTTGGACTGCAGGCTCCTTGGGGTAGAGGCTGCCTGTTTTTTTAAGGCTTATATCATGACTACTAGAGTGCAGGCCCATCCTCATTTAGTTGGAAGCTCTGTTGGAAAGGGAACGGGAACGATGATGAAGATGTGAACACCTGACATGACCGTGCTGGAGTGGAAGCTCACCTGAGGAGGGAAACGCAAGGAGCCCAATATGAGCAGAAATAGTTAGGAACAGACTGCTTTGCTTAGCTGGGGCGTATTAGAGACAGGTGACTTATGGAAGTACTTGTCCCAGTGGTATTGTCCCTTGGCTCTCTAACCTGGCCTCAATTTTAGTCCAATTGCTTAATTTCCTACACTCCCCATGAAAGCCAATTCCCTAGCTGCTGTGTGTCTTCTTTATATTTCTCCATAATGTAGATTCTGGCTGTTTAACTGCAGTAGGCTTTATGATAAGGCTTTTTTTCTCTCTCTTTTGGCAGAATGCTGAGACTTAATTTTAAAAGATGCTCAAAGCCCCCAAACATCCCTGAATGACTTACAGCGAAAGCAGAGTGTTTTCTAGCTCTGTTTTAAAAAATATTACAATCTTTTTTATTAGGCAATTTTATCATTGTTATAAATAAGTAATTGTACTGGGGAGAAGGGATAATCCTTATTTAATTAAATTCATCTATACTCCCAGGTTGGCAGCAACCAGACATATGTGAGACTAATACCCACAGCCTGCCTGTATGCATGTGCAATTAAAAATTCACTCTACAGTAGCACTGGCAGTTTAGTGTTGCTTTTGGCATTTACAAATTCTTTTATTTTGTGACTTTTTTTTTACCATACACATATGCTGGAGCAGATGTTGCTTATTTGTTGTTTATTCAAATCTGTAGGCTCTGGCAGCTAACTCCATTGTTCTGTAATGAAGCTTTATTCACTGTCCTGTATTAGGACCCAGCAAATGCATGACAGGCAGAGTTAGCTCTCAGCAGGAACTACAGTTATTGTCCTTACTTATTGGCTGTTTATATTCTAAAGCTCACAGTTGAGGAAGCTGGCTGGGCAGGGTAAGGGGCTGGGGATGCTGTGTGCAGAGGAAAATTACTTGACTCCACTCACTGTATCTTTGCCCTGATGAGGTGCAGGCTTGCATGTAAACTCATCTGTTGAAGGGATTTCATATTCAGCACTTGAAAAATAGAGCTGTTCTCCCCCTCCACCCCTCTTCCTTCTCGTTCCCCCTCCCACCCCTGCTGCTCCTTCCTTTTTCAATTAGCCTCTGTAAAGCACTGGGTTTAACTAAAGGGTGTTTCAATGTTGTTCACCCCCGTTAACTCAGCACGTGTCTGAAAATTCATTAGCAGCAACATCTATTAGGGAGGCACTGGAAGTCGGTGTTATTTTTGTACACATGGCAGCCATCCACTCCCTCTTGCTTCTTATTTACTTTTTCTGTGCCGCTCCATCACTGGGGCAGCCACGCTTTAGAGAGGCAACAATTTCCATGTAGGGCTGACCAGAGAGGACATGCTGCTCCCAGGCGCTCAAGTGCCAACAGAAAGGCATTAGCCTGCTGGAAAAGCCCTTGGTAGCCCAAGAGGCAATCAATCAGAGGAGTAACCACCTCCATCTGGCTCACTGTGACATGGTAGCTCTCTGTCGAAGCATTTGTGATTCATCTTGTCCCAACGAGTGGTGCCAGGGATTGAATACACCCAGTTTTGCAGCAGCTGGGAACGTTCTAGCTTCCCCACATGCTGAGCTAACACATTAGCTCCTGTGACTTATCAAGTAGCAATTCTTTCAATTATCACACCTTCACTCCTCCTACTCACCGGCTCCTCTCATAGTTGGCACCATGGGAATATTCACAGAAGGCAATTGGTATTTCTTTTAACTGACTGAGTGCCAAGAATGTGAATCCTGTTTATTATCCATTGTAATGTCCGCCTGCAATGGAAGGATCAACATCTTCACAAGTGCAAGAAAACACACATATATTTCCTGTGCTTCAGGCAGAACTCAGATTTCCCTGGTACCTTCCTCTATTTTCAGTAAAAAGAAGGAAACAGTTATTTACTCTAATGCCTACATCTTGTCTTTCCCCCCACACACTTATAATGCTTTTTAGTTTTGAGCACAACAGAAAGAAAAGGCAAAAGCAATGAGAATGCTTACTTTCTAAATTTGTAATCTAAATCAGGATCTCTACCTACAATATCCTACACCTGCTCTTGTTTTGAGATGTTCTGACCCTTACTTTATTCTTTGCCATTGCTTAACGATCACCTGCAGCTTCCGAATGAGTTTTCTCTTTATAAAATAATACACTCCTAGATGTTCTTAAAGCAGTCATAGTGCAGCTCATTTGGGTTAGCACTACACAGTGGCCTTCACAGTAAAAAAAAAAAAAAAAAAGAAAAAAAAAAATCCACTTCAAGAGAAAATATCCATAAAGACCAGTCACTAGTGAGAACGTTTGGAGTTCCATTGGGATTTCGTATTTTCTGTAAAAGGGAAAATTCAGGTGTGTTTTTAATGTAAGTTATTCCCATGTTTTCTCCATACAGTGAGGTTTCTTGTCTGGACTGCATCGCTCATTGCATAGCTCTGCCATCCCCCTCAAAGAGGAAATAGCATACTGCTTCAGCTCATTTATACTTCAGACAAAGAATCTGGGCTAGAAAAGGAAAAAAAAAATTCCAAGAAACAAATATGTCTCTAGAAGCCTGAGGAGAGAAGCTACCTTCACAACAGTTTTATCTTCTATTGGGGCCCTGTGGAAGGAGACATATG